ATCTCAGATCAGGTTGTTCGATATTCTTTTGGACATTTAAAAGTTTGGGAATCCTATTGGAATTAGGCTGTAACAACGTACTTGCAATCAAAGGTGAATCTCAGGCATTTCAGAGCAAAGGTTGTGTTTATGTGTGTGTGCGTGAGGGGTGAGGGGAGAGGATACTTACAGGTTTTACATCAATGCAATTTTATATAACCGTCAGTATAGAGACTAGAGTTTACTAAGCTGTTGATTTATTGAGGCATAACAATAGTAGAGATGAATAAAACATCTTTTCAGTATTTCGTTTCTCTCTTGACAAGTGAAGTTCCGGGTGTGGTAATACCTATTATGTAGTGGCTACCCAAAGAAGTTCATGTCAAGGAATACAGAATACATAGGCAGTATATAAACATGCTTATTGTTGCATCATGTCAGTGGAGGAAAATACAGAAGGAACATTTGAGCACAATAAATCTCTCCTAAAGAGAGCGTTACTTGCTCCAACCTGTCTGCAGCAATCAGAGGAAGGAAGTCAGCAAGAAAAGGAAAGAATGCTAGGTTGCAAGTGCCAAAATGTCTCATCACTTGCTACTCAAGAGAAAGGGCAGATTCCTATAACTCAAAACAAGGCTCAAATTCAGCTGCTAAATTTACAATAGTGTCCTAGATTTTAGAATCCATTTTTTTTCTATCAATAAAGGTGATCTTTGTCCAAATATCAATAGTGAAAACCACAGAGGATAAATCTTGAAAGAGACTTAAATTGTGTCTAAGTCTCTCATTTTCAGATGAGGTAACATGGATCAGAGAACATTATTGACTCCTAGTCCAGTGTTCTGTCCATTACATTTTGTTATGAAGGATAATTCTAATCAAATCACTTTTGAATTCCCAGTAAATCATGCCCCACCAAAAGTGTGTCTTTGTTATTTGATTATAGCTGTTAAGTGGATCTGAGGAACTAATTCTGAAGGATTTGCAGATAACGTATTAGTTTTCTTTTGTAAAGGTTTTGACAAATGTTTGATCTGATACTCTGATGCATTTAGAAGCTACCAAATGTTACTTTTAAGTCTCATTACATGCTCAATTGCAGTTTTGATAAAATAGTCATGATTCTTTGGAGGAGTATTTTGGACACATAGGAGCTAAGTCAGATGGAAGTCGTAGAAGTGTTACCATCAAGATGCCATTGATTATAAGGCAACTATTACTTTATAGGTTACTAAGAAAGAAAATACGGTCAATTAAGCTATGATGTGCATTGATTGCAAGACACATATTGATTTCTGTAGTGTTAAAGGATGAAGAAATGTGCTTGGAATCATGGAAATATAGGAGGTACTTGGTTAGGAAAGACCTGTCTGAAGAGAGGAAGCATAATGGAGGCAGGAGTGCCAAGTAGAACCGGGGTTACAGAGTGGATGAGCCGGGCCAAAGCAAAGACCCGTCTGGGAAGCAGTGGAGAATAACTGCAAGGCTGTAGCACGTAGGACTGGAGGTTGGAGAGAGTGAGGAACGGGCTCAGACCAGAGCCCTTGGTCCTGAGCCTCAGCCTCTTGGTTCTGGTCACTCGTGAATAGGGGCAATTTATCAGAAATCAAGGCTTAACAACTTAAATGGGAGAGCAACTCTCAAAATCTTTGAGACTCCTAGGATTTAGAAGACAAGTTAAAGGATTGAGTGCCAGTCTAAAGCTTTTGAACCTTATTTTATAAGTAATAGTGAGCCTCTGAAAAAGGAGCAAAATGAAGTAAACAGTGTTTTAAGAAGATGAATCTAATAAGAGTGTGAATAATTATAATCTGCCAAAAATCGTGTTTTTGTTTTGTTTTTTTCCGCAAGTACTCTCTGGAGAAGCAAAAGTAGTGTGATGATTGACTTTTTTCTGTTTTACCAAGTTGTGCTACTTCACTGAGAAAAATCCAAATCCCACACATGGTAGTAGAGAAGCCAGTAGTTATTTACATCAGATTTTAAGTTACTCTCACCAGTAAACTGAATGCTAAAACACAACATTCAGTTACATCCTTAAAAAAAATGATTCACTTTGGGTGGAGTACAAACTTGCCCATAGTCGTCAGTTTTACTGCAGGCAAAATAAAGACACACCTCTTCCTGAAAACACAGACAACACAAATTACTGTGGCTAGCTTCTTGCATTATCACTTTTACATCAGCTCATCCCTCACTGCTAGTCACCTAAGGCTACTAATGTAAACACTACCCTTTCCAAGCATCAGGCTTCCTTCGGTAGTATTCTGGGATAACCTCTCATTCTGCAGTATCTTCCTTGACATTTCTTCTTCCTGCAAGATTCTCTAATCTCTGACAGTGTATTTTATCACCTCCATGATATTGCTGTGAACAAGAAATTGCTTTCCTATTCGTCTGCTTGCTCAATTCCTACGCATTCTTTAAGAATCGGATCTCCTGACTACCTCCAGCAGATATTTGAGCTTCTATGCATAAAGTAACTCTCTCTCATTCTCTCTTTCCTTTTTTTTTAAAATATTTCAGTTCTCTCATTATATTGCCTACTCCTTGCCGGTAAGGGCCATTTCTCTTCAGATTCGTATCCCAAAAACTTAGCACAGTGCCTGGTATATAACAGGTGGTCACTAAATCATTGTTGACTTGATTGATTGATTAGATGATGGTGATTTATATCATATGCTAGCTATAAAGTTTGTTTTACCATGACTATTGGCTTAATAAGATATATTTTCTAGCCTCAGAATTAGAATCTAATGGAGACTTGAGACATACAACTAATTTGAGGACAAGGAAACGTTAATGCTCTAAAAAGACAGTCAAGAACATCTAGGAAGGACAGACTGCTTCCAGCAGGGGTGACTAAGAGATAATAATTACACTAAGTCTTGGGGAAAAGGATGATATTTCAGGAAGCAGAGGAGAGGAGTAGGTAGGGATTCCATATGGAACTTACACTCTAGGCAAGGGACATAGACATGAAAGCGAGGAACGTATTAGGAGAGTAGTGAATATTTTAATTTGCATGGTTCAGAATTAGGAGATCATTGGCTAATAAAGCTGGGCAAGTAAGCTGAAATCACACCTAGGAAGAGTTCAGACTTTGGTAGGCAATGGAGAGACATACTTTCTGAGTAAAAGAAAGATACTCTTATGAGATTTTAGGGAGATTAATCAGTGCTCAGGCTGGATTATAAGAGGCAGAAACTACAGGCTGGGATGAAGGGGTATGGAAGTTCTTTAGGAGAGGAATTTAAGACAAGAAGTTAAACTAAATCAAAAGAAGAGAAGGATATATGTGAGTGACATTGTAATGTATGAAGGAAAAAAGTGTCTCACTTGTTGTGTGCTGATCAGTTTACATTTGAATCACCAAATTCAAAGAGAAACACTGGCAAGCCAAGGTGAATCCAAAAGAGAGTAATCGGCATTTGGGTGGGAGGGAGGGACTAGGGTCTGCAAACTGTGAGTTCCTGATTAATCAGGAGGGAAAAAAGGCTGAAGGAGAGGTGTGATAGGCAGCTTCAGTTATTCGAAGGGCTGTCATCTCAAAGAGATGACAACATCCTTATTCTGTTACTCCAGAGGGCTGAGAAAAGATACTGGACTGTGTCCAGAAGAGTGTGATCCAGGTGTGGAAAGATTTGGGAACCGTGACACACAGGAAGAATAACTGAAGTATTTTGAGAGGTCTAATTTATGATAAAGGAAACTTGTAAGAAACTGGAGCACTGTCTTCCAATACATGAAAAGTCTGCCACATGTAAATGGGACTGGTAAACAGATTCCATTAACTCCATACATCAGAACCTTTTGTAAGTTATCGATAAGCAATTTTTCTCTTTAACGTAAGGAATTGACTATTGATTATAGTAGTCCATCCATCAGAAATATTATAAAAAGTGTGGGTAGTTAGAAGTGGATGTTGACAGTGGCAAATGTTTTTAAAAGGACAAATTAATAGTGTCTATTGGATTTGTTTTGTTAGTATCTGTTATATTAGAGGATAAAGAAAGAAGAACCAGTGGGTCAACCAATGTCTTAGAACTTATGTCACTACTATTTACTTGTGTTATTGAATGAGTATGTCAGAATTTATACGTCTCAGATAAACAGAAAATACAGAAAGACATACAAGGAAGTTGAGATACCCGTGTATGAATAAAATCTCTTAAAATGCATACCAAATAAGGAGTTATGGCATAGCATAAAGAGCAGTGGGTTGACATCAGGCATACCTGAATTTGAAGCCAGCTCTGCCACTTACTAGCTGTTTTGTCTTTGGCATATTACTTGTCCTCTCTGGGTCATAGTTTAATCATCTGTAAAACAGGGATAGAGTTTCTCTCTTCCAAGGTTATTCCACAGATTAATAATAATGTTTATTCAGTACATAGAAAAGAACCTGGAATGTATTTGATATTAAAAAATGGCAAATATTAATACTATTATCTGAAAAGATTTTAAATAAGCAAATGGTAAAGTAGAAAGAACATGGGCTTTCAAGTCACACTCATATGATTTTGAAGCCTAGCTCAGCCACTTGTTACATTCCTAGCAATCTGTTTAACCAATATCAGGTTCTTTATAAAATGAAAACAATACCTGTCTACTTCACAGGTTCGCAATATTAAATTAGGTCATTTATTATTTCTATGTTGAGCAGAGTCTGGTATGTGATAAAACCTCAGTGTTAATTTCATTTCTCCTCAAAGGTATGAACAGGCAGTATCCCGCTTATGACCTTAACACGCATTTTACAGACTTTAGATGGGCTGGAAGTCCTGGCTGGGCTCCACAGTCCCTGAGGGAAGGGAGAGCTGTTACTGTTTGCCAATGCCAACTCCTGGGACTGATTCACCTAATGGACTCCCTCTGTTATGCGCCCCATGAAAGGAAATGTCTAAGTTTTAATAGATAAAGAGAGGACAGAGACTGGTATGTTGTAATCAGTTTCAGTTACTAATATCCATGCACACTTATAATTTCTGCTTTCTAAACCTCATCTGATATTTCTAAAGCTCTAGCTCTTCCAGGAGGAAGTGATGAGAAGAGATTTGTAGTCTGCCATTTATACCTGGGTTCTTACCTTATCTTCAGCCACGTATTACAGTCCACTTATATTGACTGTTCTGATCAGGTTTGTTTCCTTATTATTGAGATAATTTACATTCTTTCTCTCCGCAAATTTACCATTATGTTCTTATTTAGAAAACCACCCTTTTGGGCTCTTATGTATTTCTGAGCCACACTTCAAGAGTCACCCTAAGTTCTGCCTCCTCTTGACCTTTAGTGATCCTTCTAGCCTATAGTATTTTTCCCCACCTCGATCTCTCTCAGCCCCAATTCTGACCTTCATTCACTTTGTTTTTAATGAGGAAGATTGGCCATGAATTTTATGGTATGTAAATTAATAAATAAAGTTGTTAAAAATAACTTATGAGATTATATGGTTAAATTTTACTTTATAATAAATTGCCCAAAGTGATAATATTTCCATTATGAAAGACAAGGGTGTTGATTCAAATGATTCCATTAGAAAACTAATTATAGCTACTCTTTGTTATATTGATATATATAGTTCTCATATATTATTTCTGTTAATAAATTTATATTGTACTATTCAGTAAAATTTTCAAAAATGTAACTACTCGTATGTAAAAAATACCGTAATGGTCTTTCTTTGTTTGATTTTTCTGACCTTTTTTTAACTATGAAATTCAAATGATTTCTTCTGTCTCTATGATTTTCTACTCTAAAAATAATATAATTATCAGTTGCCTTTTTAATCGAGATATTCTACAAGTTGACTATAAAGTGAATTTTTTTGTAAGAAAACTTAATTTTTTATATTTCTAAGATTAAATTTGAGGGATATTCACATCGGGGAAAAGTCAAATTTAGTAATGGACGATTGAACTACTGGCTTAAATAGTAGCTAATCTCTGTTCATTATTCCTTTCCCAAGCATAAGAATTTCTCTTATGCCTGTTATCTTTTAACTTCATACTTCTAGCTTCTATTTCTAGATTTGTGTTGGTATGCCCAATTGAACAGTAATACTGATTTTTTTACTTCACAGATAGGAACTATCAGAACAGGAAAATTTGAAGCTACAAGAGAACTTGGAAATCATCCAGCCCAACTTATCAAATTATCCATTTGATATGAGATCCTGGGTGGTTAAAGAACTTGTTTGGATATATAGAGTTAATTGGTTACATAGTTAACTCTTAATTTTCAAAGAGTATTCACAATAAACTAGCCAAATTTCCTCATCTAGTCAAGAAGAGAAACTGATTTTTTTCATTCCTTGAACTTCAAATTTCTATAAATTTATGAACTGTAACTATGACTATGGACATTACTCTTCTTAATCAGCCTTGCCTAGCTCCATTTGCTCAAGTCCAACAAAATTAATTTCAAGCTATAATATATAGATGCTATTTATCTGGCTCCTTGCACTTTTTATAAGAAGGAATATACTGTAATATTAAGAGCTCTAGATCCAAACTTTCTGGGTTTGAGTCTAGCTCTGTCACTCATTTAACTCTGTGACCTTGGACAAGTTGTTCTCCCCTCAGTATGGGGAGACTAAAACTCTTCATAAGCTTTCTAGGATTAAATGAGTTAATACATTGGAAGTGCATAGAACAGTACACTGAATGTAATATAATAATTCATTATTAACATAATATTAATAATAAGCTGAGCAATTAATACAAGCTGAACAGATTGGTTGGGATGGGTAAAGAGGCAATAGATATTAGTAGCTTTTTTCCTGTCCTCCTTAGCCTTTGCTTCTGTATAGGTTTAACTCTGGAGCTATGTTTCTTAAACTTTAGTAAAGCATGGACACATTTTAAAGAAAATTATTTTTCCACACTTCTAAGAATATACCTACAAAATCCAGCTGAAGAAACAACATTAATTAAATACTGTTGCTTCCCATGATTGCTTGGCTTCAACACAATCAGAAATACAAATGTAAATTTACATACTGAAGTCAGGTTAGGAGTAGCCTATTGTAAGGTGTTGGTTCAATTGATCTAGCATTTTAATTTTTTGAGAGTATTATTAAAATGAAAACAATTTTAAATTTATAAACTATCTTGAGAATACTTCAGCAGACCTTAGTATGAGAACTGTTGCTTTAGAAGCAAAAATAACCCACCTTATGCACAGCAAATTGTTTCTTTTATATGTGTCTAAGGCTCTGTTATCCCTATGTGTTTTGATCAATTGAAATTACTGCAGAGTAATACCAGGCCAAACTGCCAGTGGTGGTAGCAGCTGAAGCTGACTCTGGTCAGATCACAAATGAGCCAGAATAATGCCCATTCTGGGGCTGTCTTTAGGTAGAATGATAAAATTGGTTGTAACTTCTTTGTTTTCCTTCTGTCACCCCACTAAGTTCTCCTATCCTTCCTCTCATCTGTGCCTTTATCTCTTACCCCAAATATATGTTTCTCATTAAGGTGAGATGAATTAGTGCTTATTAATGTGTTACTTTTCCCACAATATTTACATTTTAATAAAACAGATCTAAGGCCCTGAAGGACCTTAAGATTTATTTGAATCTCTTAAAGCGGGATTTCCAACACTTTGACAAGTTCAATAAGAAGAAATAGAGGTACATATATTTTTAAGTAATTTTTTATGTTGTAAAGCAAGAACATGTTCTTTGTAGAAAATTTTGAAAATGCAATAAAATGAAACAAAACACAGAAAAAATAATATGTATTCTTAGCTTATGAAGATAACCAGTGATAATATTTCTGACATTTTTCTTAATAGATTTTGTTTTAGGATTTTAAAAAAATTATTAAAATAAGACCAACCAGTTTATATTCTGCCTTTTTCACTAAACATTATAAACATATAATATCTCATGTTTTTATAAACTATTCTAAACATTATCTTTAATGATTGCATACTATGGATTTACCAAGTTAGCGTGTGAATATTTCCCACGTTCTTCTTACATATTGTGAATGATGTTCCAGAAGTTTTGTACTGTATTGCATTCCAACCGACAGTATATAAGAGCCACTTTATTGCCATATTTTAATTGTTTGGTGAAAATGATATCCTTAAAAGAGTTTTTCTAATTTTTATATTTTTATTACTTTTAAGAGAAATTTGATTTTCTCTTGTGTAAATTTGCTCCTTATGTCTTTGCTTGTTTAGCTGTTGAAATCTTAATATCTTTCTTACTAATTTGTTTAAATTCTTTATATAGCTAGGTTATTAATCTTTTCTTGGAGATATTTTGCAGGTGGTGGTTTATTTTGGAATTTCATTTGTAATGTTCCCTAACATGCATAAGTCATCTCTACAGATTTTTCCTTTGCTTTTAAACTTAGAAAATCTTGAGAGTAAGGAATTTGGAGATAGGATGGGGCTTCTGTTGCATTTCAAACTATTAAGCTTTATATTTTTTAAAAATCTAAACTCATGTTCTCCTGTAAGCAGTTTATGAACGAAGAAACAAATAATTTCAGAGGTCCATGTGGAGTATTCTTAAATGTGATAACAGATAAAGGGAAAATGAGAAAGCAAATCTCAAAAAATTACTTATATTTAAATTTTTATTTCAAATGAAATGTTAAATGATGTAATATCCAGCTACCTTCAAAAATGTCTGCAAGACAGTGTTTAAAATAGTTTGTCCAACTAAGCTAATAAGTTAATAGTCAAAACCTAGGGTAGTTTTACCAAATGAAAATAAAGTTAAATTTTAAGACCTGGCACATTAATGGTACCACAGTTAAGAATTCTACTGGGAGAAAAGGCAGAGTAGTCCCCATTTTCCCCTAAGTAAAGCTTCTTTATGAAAAGATAATGATCATAAAGAATTATTAATTGAATACTACTTCAAATGGGGGATATATACATGGAATATTTTGGATATATATTAAGATAAAAGTCATCTAAAATATAATAAGCATTATCTCATTTTGTAAGTCCCTTTCTCTAATGTTTGTTAAAGGAAAAGCCAAAGTTTTTTTTGTATATACATACTAAAAGATATAAATATTATTAATTTATGTCCGATAGCTCCCTGTGGAAAAGGAAAGACTGGTGTTGCCATAAATGTGCTCTGTTCTTTGTGTGAGTAGTTGAAGCTAATTGTAGGTGATCGGGATTTTATTTTGTCTCTGGTTATCGTGTTTAGAATCTTATGCCATGATTTGTTTGAGAGTAATGCCTGCTTGCAGTTAAGTACATCCATTAGCTGTAAGCCTGGTTAAACAGTGCCTGTCCTCAGTTGGTAAACGTCTACTTGGATTATGATAATGCAGTAACAATCTGTTAGATATAGCAACTGAAGTATTAAATCTGCAATGATGAAATAGAAACTGTCTTGCCTGCTTATAATCTTATGAGAGGGTTGCATTTTTAGTGGAGGTGACAGGAAGACAAAATAATAGCTTCTTCTTGCTGGAAGTACAGTAAGTGAAGACTTATGTGAAGATCTCTCACATTCCTTGAATAACCCTTTAAAAGGTGACATTTTTCCATCTTTGCTTTCAGTCCTTGCTTATATAAGAAAATAAAGTGAGGAACCTAGAAATGTGGGTTTAGTAAATTCTCACTTTTATAATCGCGTAAGGTTTTTTTTTTTTCTCCCCAAAACTCCCCAGTATGTAGCTGTATATTTTTAGTTGTGGATCCTTCTAGTTGTGGCATGTGGGACACCGCCTCAACATGGTGTAATGAGCGGTGCCATGTCTCTGCCCAGGATCCAAACCGGCCAAACCCTGGGCTGTTGAAGTGGAGCACGCGAACTTAACCACTCAGCCACGGGGCCGGCCCCAATCATAAAGCATAAAACATAAGGTTTTAATCAATGAGTGTCAAATGGAGAAGGGAATTTATATTTAATACCAACCTATGATGTGCCTGTATTTTAAATTATTAATTCTCACAATAATCCCATAATCCCAGAGAGTATTAGTGACTTGTGCAAGGTCATACAATCCCAAAGAGAAAGAGCCTGGCTTTGAGCCATGTTCTACTGACTTTAAAACCTAATCCCTTTCCTCTTATACAAGCAGATATGTATGATATATGAAGCATAATGTAAAATAGATATATTTATAATATAAAAATAGATAGACTATACTATAGTATAATATAGTTTCTGATTAGAGCCAGATGATTGAAACAAAGAAAGGAGAGATTGCTCCAGACTGGAATGATCTGGAAAAGCTATGTGAAGATACAACTTGAATTGGCCTATGAACTCTGGGTAGATGGGCCTCAGATGGAATGAAGACTGAGAAAGTTTTGGAAGATAATTGGTAGTATGTATTTGAAGACAAAAGAGAAGACATTCTCTGAGTTACTTAAGGGCACCATCTCAGTTATTGGTCTTAGTTATTGATGCCTTGGTATTTATCACAATGCCTAGCACATAAATAGGTGCTAAATAATGTTTAAATGATGCTTTAAAATGTTTGTTGAATTGAAAACACTCTGGGAGATAAGAGAAACATAGTTGAGAATATATAGTCTTGCAGTGTTGGAAGTAGCAGAATTAAAAGTACTTTCTCACAAGTCATTAGCCTGGTGTGGGAGTTGGGGGTGGGTGAGAATGGTGGGGAAGAAAGAGAGTGAGCACAAGTGGGCTTTTCCTCTGATTTAGAATAATAGGTCTAAAAGAGGAGCAATTTTGAAGGTTGATGAAAGAGCTAACACCTGATGCCCTCAGCCAACTTTGAAGTCTAGGAGACTTCATTGAAGCTTTGAGGGGAGTAAAAAGGGCTTGTTTCAGCCACTAAGGCAAGGGCAAATGGGTTCTTAAAAGAATAGCCAAATAGCAAGCAGCAAGGACCAAGGTGAAATTTGAGAACTAAATTTGGGTTATGTTTATTCCACAAGGTTTCTCTCTTTTCTTCTCAGAAATCTGAGGTACAGTGCAGAGCAAGTAGTTCTGTCTTAATATTTACCATTCAGATCTAACATATGCCATCATTTCAGGTTTCATACTTTATTTCGGGTCATGGGACCTGGTGGCATCTGTATCCCTAGGCCTTTGTGCAGGATTGGAACAGCGTATGGGCACAAATTAAAAATATTCACCTGAAACAATTTCTCTCAGGAATGCTTAGAAAAGCTTTAGGTTACACAGCTCAAGTAGCAGAGCTGGAAAAATGATTGGTGGGGAAAGCTAATGGGTTCATTTTCTCACTTCTGATGATTGTAGTATTTTTGGTAGCTACAATGTAGACCTCTGTCCTTCCCATTATCTAATTATAATGTGCAAGGACTGATTGCATGTGCTCTTTGTCTACAGTCCTTGGCACTAATAACCCTAAACAAAGCTGCAGACACTAATTACCTCCTTTTCCTAATCTGAATTTTGATGTGCTTTTGAACTAGTAAGTCTTCTAATGTTCTAAGAGGGCTTTCCCCATCATTGCGGAGACATTTACTTCCCCTGAATTCAGGGAACTAGATTTTGAATTAAAGTTTTTTTGGAGGAGTTTTTGATGCTTATAATTTTGTAGCAGCACAAATAAATCAGGATGCCTTTATTTATTATATACCCAAACCAGCATTGCCTGCATTTGAGAAAGAGATAATTATAAAAGTTTGCTCTAAGATACTCATGAGATGTGTATGCTCTTTGTAGAAAACATGGAGACAAAGATAGTTCATTTTGTCTCCTGACTGTCAGATTCCATCTGTAACTAAGCAATAATGTTATCCTGTATCTCTTTTTGATAAGCTGTTACCTGAGTTTCTTGTGGTCATCCTAAGAAAGTAGAAAGCATAAAAATTAACTTTGGGTTTATGGCAGCTGAAAGGAAGCTGATTTACTGAGTTACTGAGCACATTTGAAAAATGACAAGGCAGAGTCTATTTATTCCTTTTTGGTTAAAGAACCAGGAAACGCTTTTGACTGATGACATCGCAATGAATCAGATTTATTAGCTTGAAGCACAGAACTTTTGTTTGTCTCCAAAGTCTTGACCAAGAGAATATAGTCTCATATAAAAATAAAGATAATTTGGCCTATGATTTTTCTTCTTTTTTGCAAAATTCAGTTTTCTTTATAAAATTTTCTTTTCCTTTTTTTTAAGTATTAGTTATATGACTTGAGCAACTCACTCTGCTTCAATTTCCTTATCCTTAAAATGAGGTTATTTACCTACCTATTTAACAGAGTTGTGAGAAATAAATGAGATCATATCTTTGGAATGATCAGAATGACTAGAACGGTATCTGATAATTGCTCAATGAGTATTAGCTATTGTTTTCAGTTAAACCAGAATGGCTTCAACCACACTGGCAGGGATAATGTTCCAGCTCAGCCCTTTACTAGTTGTGTGACCTTAGGAACGTTACTTAACCTCTTTGTACCTCAGTTTCCACATCGGTAACATGGAGGTAACATTGATGCCTACCTTACAGACTTTTGTGAAAATTAAATCAATTAATGTATGTTAAAGTGCTTAGAACAACCTGGCACATAATAAGCCTATTATCATAATTATTTTTTACATTATCACTGTTTTTATTAGGACAGATTTTTTCACAATGCAAAAAAGTACTATAAATGTACATTGTTCTACATCATGGCCAAGTAAGGAAATAAAAATAAGGTAAAATCACGAGACATCAAGGAAGAGAAAGAGGGCAAACTGATAGGAATAGGCAGAAGAGTAAGTATTACAGAAGCAGACAGTATAAAACATATACACCCAGGGGAGAGAGTGAATAAGGTAGGAAAGTTCCAGAAAGTTCTTCATACTTCTAACATTCGTTTATTTGTTTATACACACACACACACGAAATAAAATCCTGGACTGGTTTACATGCTCTGTGGGCTACTATCTCTCACCACTTCATAGCATTTATTGCACTGTATTCTTTTTGCTAGATTAATTGTCCATCTTCTTCACATGCAAGCTCTTCGAAGGCAAGAAACATATATGTCTTGTTTATCTTTGGAATCATAGTGTCTTGCATATAGAAGACACTCAATATATATTTAAATTGAATCAGAAATAGGGCTTTGCAAGACTAATTTGTATTTTTCCGTAAACATTTTTCCTAATATCTTCCATAAATAGGCCTTCAATATATAACTTTATATAAAATGCTTAACTGTGTGTAAAATGTTTGCCTTTACTGCATGTAACATTTATTTCTAAATTTCTATTTTCTTTTAAATTTGGAAGACTATTAAAATTAAATACTCCTGCTACTTAACATAGTAATGAGCACCACATCTTTAGGAAAATACAATTGTCTTGTTCACCACACTTTATATCATTTGTTAACTTTTCTGTTATTTCTTTTCTTTCAGAGTCTGTTGTTCTTTTTGATTGTAAAACAGCATACTTGCTGCTGCAACTAGTGGCTTTTTGCCATGCATTCTTAGTATTTCTTGGAACATTTGGTTTAGGAAGTGGGATAATTAGTATATAAACATTGTGTAGCAGAACTACTCTAATTAGTGCCTTTTGGCTTGAGTTCAGTGATAAACAAAGTAAAATGCACGTCAGCATTCATCCTAACAGTTTATAAAAATCCTGT